ACTCTGTTATTGAGTACCCAGGAGCCAGGCTATGATCAGCTATGATAGATCTGTGACTAGACCACATCGCCCGCCACGACAGTCCTCCCAGGCGCGTCCTTCCTTGGTGTCATTTTAGAGACAAATGCTGTCTTACGGGGATTAACCTGCTGGTCCAAGGCCACACGAGGACGGGTGGCACGGCCAGGATTCCATCACAGACTGTGGCTGTGGACGAAAGCTCTTTACCACCAGCCTGGGCGGCCTTTCCCCCAGTTTGGTCCACATTCCCATGACGGATGATGTACCACTTTTAATTACTTCAAATAAAGTTTTATAAGCCCCTTCTCTGAATCATCGCATCTTATTATCCACAGCGCAGGAGGAAACATTAAGCAAGCAAAACAGGGAAGGGTAAGATGAGATGCTGAAAACTTCGCTGATCTCATTCGACAAGGAAGCGCCGGGCCGGCAGACGGGCCTGCAGGACGAGGTGATGGCCGCGCCGCAGTCCGCGGTCCCAGCGAGCGTTTCCACGTGTGGTCACCACACCGGGCCGTGGAGGGTACGCTGTGCCCGTCCAGGGGCTTCGGAAAAGCCAGTCCGACAGCCACACTGACGAGCGTGTCACTTCCTCATTAGCCGGACTAGAAACACATGTCACATGAGCTTCGCATCTGTCGCGTTCTACTGTCTGATGACAGAATCTGCTAATTTGCCATTATCGTCATCATGTCTTTTTTTTTTTTTTTTTTAATTTTCCCAGGTAATGGCCAATTATGCCGGATCTAATTCTTTCTCTTCCCCACAGTATTGACGGCCGTAGTGGAATCGCCAGGTTCTAAAATAATCTCAGAGGGCGGAGGAAGAGGGACGCGTGAAGAATGGTGAGTGGCAGAGCCCCCCTTCTTACCGGCTCCTTCTGCCTCAGTGTACCTGTCCCGTGGGCAAGTTCAGAGATGGTTGTCACCCACGCGTCAAGCAAGGCGTGCAAATTAGGGCGCGAGGTTCGAGTAAAAACCGCTGGGGAAAAGCCTAACGATTTCAATGCACCATGTTTCAATCTGTTGGCGTATTTTCTTTCAAAAGAATAGAATAATTTACTAATTGCTAATTTTGTAATTGGTGCTGTGGTTGATTCTACCTACAATATTCACCGAAGTGGATCCAAGTTGTAAGGACTATCAGTACAATTTTCATTTTCGAAAAGGGGAAAATACTTCAGATTTTTAAGATTAAGATTAATTTTAAATTTTAAAAAGGGTGGCATTATAAGAATATGAAACGGCAGGGAGATTTCAATTGGGGAAAAAAACAACTCATAACATCCTAATTTTGCATTTTCTTTATTTCATTGACTTACACTGTTATGTTTTCACTGAAAATGGTAAATCATTGAAAATCAACACAAACCATGTTTAAAAAATTTAAAGAAAATGTATCGTGAAAATGAAAGCTTAGAAAACATTTTTACGACAGGCAAATATTTTTATAATACTTTCTTAAAGAATTCAGAAGCTGGGTCAGTTTTAGCTTGGACGGCTTTCCACGTTCTTCTATAGAACGTCCAAGTTTGTGCTAGCTAAAGGCAGGCCCCGAGGTTTTCGGCTCCCCGATATGAATTATGGGCAGGGATGGAGGCAGAGCCGACCACACCGGCCCTTGAGACGAGCGCAGAACCTCGGAACCACATGGGCCTGGCACTGGGGGACCCGGCGACACAGGGGCAGTGGCTGGACAGCCTGGGGCAGCCCTTGAGCTCATCACGCCCTTGCAGGGTGACCTTGGACATTTACGCAGCCGTCCTGAGTCTTGGCTTTCTCATCTGTAAAATGGGCTTGCGGACAGTGCCGAAGGGGTCGGTGAAGACTGATGTAGCAAAGTGCTTAACGCAGAGTCCGCACACAGAGCGGAGACATTATCTAACATCGTCACGGTCCAGTCCTATGAAAACATCATCCGATGCCAGGGGCCCTGTGGCCTGTCTCCCCGGACTCCTGGACTCACCTGTCTTCTCAGTGGGAGGTCCAAGAAGGACGCTAAACACAAACAAAGCCACCTGCAAACCTTGTCTTCCGTCTCCTGGTGTCACGTGTTCACCCCCGATGCAAAGGACCAGAAGGAAAAGGGCCGGGAGCAGTCACACGCCCCTTTCCAGTCGCTCATGCCTGGCCTCCTAAGGGGGCAGCCAAGACCCTGATCCCGAAGGAGGGGACCGCAGCCCAGAGCGTGTACTGCGCACCGGACACTGCAGACCCTGGGAGAATGCGCCGCAGTCCCATGCTGCGGACGGGAAGCTAGGGTCAGGGACTCTAGGAGCAGAGCGAGACCACACAGCCACCAGATGCTCCTCAGACCCAGGCAGTGCGGCTCAGAGCTGACCTGACCCCGGATGTCACCCGGCACTGGCTTCAGGGGGGACACTGCAGGTCTTTGTCCTTCGCCGGGGTGCACTAATGCACCTAGTGCGACTGTCCTAGCTCTCTGCTCACACCCCGTGCACATGCGCATCCGCGCCCGGCTCCACACTACCCACGCTTTCCCACCAATTCTCCGGCCTCTAAAGGCAGCTTTGAATTTTCTTCATGTAAGAAAATGATTGGGTTATTATTTCAGCCATAATTTTTCTGACGTCAACGATAACATTAAAACTCTACTGGGGTCGGGGGGAGGTAGATGGGGGGAAAAGGAAAAAAAAAATTTTAAATCATTTCTTCACTTAAAATAATTAATTTAAAAAGCTACTGATTAGAAACTAATCTTTTTCTAGTCTACTCTTTCAAATATTTAGAACCTATTAGATCATGAGGATTGTTGAAAGGCAAGTCTCTAACAGCGATACCAATGAGAAGGTCTATGAAGGACTTGATAAGCTGATGTTAATCTTAAGGAAATACTCGCCAAGAACGTGGGGACAGGCACGGCCAAGCCGAAGAGGCCGGAAGAGACCAGGTACCACACCGTGACGTGGATGTCCAGGGTCCCCTTCCCACCCTCCCACCTCAGCCGAGATACCTTTACTCTGGATGGCATGATTTTACTCCCTCAGTAGGGCACAAAAATAATTTTTAAAACATCCTGTTAAGAGACGGAAAGATGAAAAGTTGGCTAAAAAATATAAAAAATGACAGCATCCGTATTACTATTCTAGGGACCCCTAGTCCCCTTTCAAAAGCTCCTTCTGACCATATCGCAATTAATCACACGCAGGCATGTAACTGTTATAAATTTTATTAGAATAATAGAAAATAATGCATACAGATAACCATAGGATACGGACACAGAAATCTGAAGATAATTTTTATACTTTTCAATATGAAACAAGATGCAGATCTCATGGAGATATATTGTTAGAAACACCAGGAAACAGAGTCATCGTCTTGAAAACGAGAAGCAGAGGAACATACGGGAATTACTAAGTAATAAAAAGGTACAACTCGATTGTGTGTGGCATAGAATACAGGTATTGGGGACGGTGTTTCCCCACTGTTGACTAGAAATAACAATGGCCGAATGAAGTCTACTGGTCAACCTACTGGTCACTCAACTTTTCCTAGACACACACAGTATATACAGTATGTACAGACCTGGCAGAGAAAGCCATAAATATTTTTCTCCTTCGTATATAACAACTTTATCTTAAATGTAATCTCTAAGTGTAAATTAATGCTTTATGGTGATATCAGAATTCTGCTATTTTTATTCTTTTTTGATATCCGAACCGTTGGTTTCAAATTCTGATATCTTTGCAAAGAACGAGAAATGTGAAGTTGGTAAGAAAGAGGTAAAAAATTGATTTCGCAACGTCTAACAGTCTGCTGATCTTCATACATTCTTTACATATTGCTATGAGGTCACGTCTTCAACAACCCTTCGGAAACCACATATTGAAAGACGAGTCGTACGTATCAAAATCAGCAGTGTCACCAGGTTCCATCACGAATATAACGCGGGAACCAAAAGTCCTGCCAGACTCACTCGGAGAGACGGCTGGGTTTCATGAGAGAAACCATCTCTGTCAATTGAAAAGGAGAAGGTCTCTCAATAGTATCAGAACCCGGAAATGAATCGTGGGAATTCTGGTTAACATTTGCGTTGAGATTCAAGTCGATTCTCATTTCCTCCACCACGTTTTAATAAAACCTGGACACTTGTTCTAGGTGTGAAGGAAGCTTTTTTTTAATCTTTTTTTTTTTTATTTTGAAAAAGGATAAAACATGATCATTTCAATTTTATAGTACTGAGTGAGAAAAGAAAGCAGTATCTAGAACAGAACGCAAGCTTTAAAAAGGGGCTGGTCCTCACCACGACGCAGCGGGGCACGCTGCCGCCCGCCCGGTTCCCGCAGGGGGTGACCCAGCTCGCTCCAGTTTCCCCCTGTGCCTGTGACACGCAGTTCAGAGGGCGGAGGCGGGCGGGCCGGGAGCTACTGCTCCACGCCTCATGGAGGAGGTGTGGAGATGTAAGGAGCACGGAGCGGTTTGGAGTGATCCCACACCCGCTGGACAGGGCACCTGTCACGGGCAGCTTCCTCCCCCGCCAAGACACACGCCCTTTGCCAAACAGGGTGATTTGCAAGATGCGTTTTTCACCGTTTCAGAATAGTACTGGTTAAGTCTCCCAAACGATGCTGCTACAAGGAGAAATAGCACTTCGATTAAATGAGCTTTTCTACATTAGGAAAAAAAGACACAATAAACGTGTGTGTGTGCGCGTGGGAACGTGTGAGTCTTCACCCATGGGCAGTGCTTAAAATCATAGCTTAGGAGCATCTGTGTCCCAAGTCTGAGCTACGTAATATGTAAATTCCTTTGGTTTATCAAGTAAGTATTAAGGCATTTCAGATTTCCCTAAAAGGATTTACCGTTTTTTAAATTATGTTCATATTTTACCTATCTAGAAAGTTAAAAATACAGAGTTGGAAAAAAACATGCATTATCACTGCATTTCATGAAAGCACTTTTTTTTTTGTAACCAATTACCTTTCCAGTAAATAGTAAAAAAAAAAAAAAGAGTTTCTGTCACCACAGGGCATTTGCTATGAAGCACAGGGTTATCGGTACATAACTTGACATGGGGTGGACATTCGCGATGGCGGACGTGGACCCTCGTGCATCCGTATCTGTCAAAGAGGATAAACAACAGCTCATTAACGAGGACTGTACCCAAACGAGCAATCAGGGCAAAAGCCATGCTTCTCGAGTCAGCACGAACCTCACCAAGACCTCACGCTGGGATCAGCCCCATTTTATTCATCAGTGTAGCATATACCAATTGCCGAGAGCATCTATAAAAACACTGATGTATTTGAGTTTTCTAAAACAATTCTAGGCCCTGTTCATCTAGTATTATTTAACTTTAATGGAAACTGAAAAAAACAATTATTCTGAAAACAATTATACTCTGTTACAGATAACTTTAATGTAATTCAATGGCTTAATTAAAGGAAGCTTCATTGGCTATGAGTTTGAAAAATCTGTGTTTCTGCTTTCCACATTTTTAGATAAATCATTATGCGTAATACAAAACATCAATGAAAGCTCCACGTCGTAGAGTCGCCCTCGTCTGCACCAGTCTCGCAGCACAGCAAGACGGCAGACGCCAGCAGGAGGGTCTGCTCCCGACCCCACGGCCCTACGGTGCGAGGGCACCGCTGTCCCTGCACAGGTGTCGAGCACACGCCATCTCACAGCTCCACTGTGGCCACACGGAAATGTTAACTCGACCACCTGCACTGTTCTCGGAAGGAGAGAGCAAGGCTTATTATTTTAAAACCATCACCATCACCACCATCACCATCACCATCACCATCATCACCACCATCACTACCACCATCACCACCATCATCACCACCATCATCATCACCATCACCACTATCACCACCGTCACCATCATCACCATCACCATCACCACCATCATCACCATCACCATCACCATCATCACCACCATCACTACCACCATCACCACCATCATCACCACCATCATCATCACCATCACCACTATCACCACCGTCACCATCATCACCATCACCATCACCACCATCATCACCATCACCATCACCATCATCACCACCATCACTACCACCATCACCACCATCATCACCACCATCATCATCACCATCACCACTATCACCACCGTCACCATCATCACCATCACCATCACCACCATCATCACCATCACCATCACCATCATCACCACCATCACTACCACCATCACCACCATCATCACCACCATCATCATCACCATCACCACTATCACCACCGTCACCATCATCACCATCACCATCACCACCATCATCACCATCACCATCACCATCATCACCACCATCACTACCACCATCACCACCATCATCACCACCATCATCATCACCATCACCACTATCACCACCGTCACCATCATCACCATCACCATCACCACCATCATCACCATCACCATCACCATCATCACCACCATCACTACCACCATCACCACCATCATCACCACCATCATCATCACCATCACCACTATCACCACCGTCACCATCATCACCATCACCATCACCACCATCATCACCATCACCATCACCATCATCACCACCATCACTACCACCATCACCACCATCATCACCACCATCATCATCACCATCACCACTATCACCACCGTCACCATCATCACCATCACCATCACCACCATCATCACCATCACCATCACCATCATCACCACCATCACTACCACCATCACCACCATCATCACCACCATCATCATCACCATCACCACTATCACCACCGTCACCATCATCACCATCACCATCACCACCATCATCACCATCACCATCACCATCATCACCACCATCACTACCACCATCACCACCATCATCACCACCATCATCATCACCATCACCACTATCACCACCGTCACCATCATCACCATCACCATCACCACCATCATCACCATCACCATCACCATCATCACCACCATCACTACCACCATCACCACCATCATCACCACCATCATCATCACCATCACCACTATCACCACCGTCACCATCATCACCATCACCATCACCACCATCACCACCATCACTATCACCATCACCATCATCCTAAGTTAATTCCTGATTTTTCTCTACTGAAGAGCATAGGCTTTTAGGAATGTCTGTGGTTGAAATGGTTTTTACAGATGTACAGGCGGCAGAACTCCGTTCCAAGATACATACTTAGCATTCCCTCAGTACAGCTTAGTCATTTTTAGTCCTAGTACTGCAATCTATATGATTTCATGGAAAGCGGCGACCGGGCCGACTCACCGGTTATTCCCGGAATCCGGATCTGCTCGCTGCTGGCGCCGTCCCCGCCATCGGTCGTGGCCTTCACCTCGAGGACGCAGTCCTCTCTGATGGGCAGCAGCAGCTCCACCGATGTCTCATTTGTGCGCAGCACGTGTGTGTCACTCTGACCGCTGGTCCTGTAGAAAACCTAAAACGTGAACAAACGTTTACTTTTCCCATTGCCCGGTTTTATTTTTTTCCATAGAACTTATTGCTCTGACAGAACCTTACATGCTCCGTCTTTCTATACTCATGAGAACATAGGTTGCATTCTCAGCTCTGTCCACAGATCTTGGATGGGGGATGAGCACAGGGTAGAATCATCAAGGTCCCAAAGCCAAGGAGGCTGGGGGAGAGGGGACGCCCCCCAGGAAAGAGCTGGCGGGTACTTGCCAGGCCACAGGGAGGGGGCGAGGCCCTGGGGATTCGATCTGGAACACCCGCCCACGTCATCGGAGCCAACACTTTTGTTTTTAAAGCAGTACGTGGGTGAGCATCAGAAGTGACACTCACAGAAAGTTACAGGAGTGACTAATTAACATAACAATTTACGAACGTTTTGTCCAAGATTTCCATGTGAACAGAATTATTTTGCTTCATTTTACGTTTAAGCAATCAGACGTTCTGGAGAGTGCGTTCTTCGTAAAACGCATGCTATCTGCATGTCAGATTAGGTGACAGAAAGAAACCAGCCACCGGCATTCGGAAGCGTCGTTCCGCCAGCTCCCCGTGGGAGGCAGGGCCAGGTCGGGGGACGAGGGACGCGCACGGCCAAGGGCAGACTTACTTTGTATCCCGTCACTGCGGACTCGTGCTCCGTGGCTCTGACACGGTCCCAGCTCAGCAGCACCTTCGAGTCCGTGGTGTTCCAGACGATGTTCCCGGGTGGTCGGCTGGGAGCTTGGAAGACAAAGTGGGAAATTCACTCAGAGGCGAGCACAGAGGGACGCTCTGCACAGGCGGCCGTCACAGGCGGCCAGCAGCGGGGCGGGGCACACGGCGACGCGCGGGGCACGGGCGGAATCGGAAAAGTGACCCAGCTACGCTTCCTCACGAGAGGCATTTCCGCCAGAGTGCGAGAGGATGCGTTTCACCGCGTTCACCGTGCGCCCCTGGCCAGCGACGGCCTCTGGAGACCATGCTGGCGGGCGGGCGGGGGGACGAGGACACTCCTCCATCCTCCGGGCCTGGCTTCCGTGGCTGGCCAGGTGGCGTGACCCACTTTGACGTGTGGGTGGGTTAGGCCAGCCTTCTACGGTGAGAGGGGACAGGGAGAAGCCATCGGAGATGAGGGTTCCCGGACAGACCCCCACGAAGCAACAGCTACACACAGGAAAAGCCGCAGCAGAGTCTACGTTTTAGTCTTTGTTTTCTACGTTCGAATCAATTTTTGATAAAAACAAGGCAAAGCACTGAAACGTGAATGAGAATTCCATTAGATAATTAAGGACACTCAGGTTTGCAAACGTGGATTCCTCGTTTGGCTGCCACTCACGAGGATGCGGGAGTGGACGCGGGCGGGGTTCACGGCAAGGCCCGCCGGCTGCAGAAAATGCAGGACCGAAGGACGCCCTGCGGTGACCCGTGTGCCAAGGGCAGCGCACGAGCCTGAGCAGCGCCGGAGCCCGTTACACGCGTGGCCTTGGCTGCAGATGTGTGACCTGCTCGACTGAGCCCTCACGGGAGATGCTACAAAAGCTTGGCGATGCCCAGAACGCCGAAGCATCGCTGACCGGCGCCGGGAGGAAGGACGGTTGGCTCCCGGTGTGACCGAGGACGCCCCCAGGACTGGGCCCCGCACACTGTCCGTCTGCCCTTGGACGCCCCTCTGCGTTGCCTCTAAACTTTTGTGGTCCAGTGCTAACGATGGGTTTCGGTCAGCTCGGAGCATTCCGGCCGTGATGCTTTGCCAACGAGAAACGTAAAACGGCGTGACTCAGGGTTGAACCACTAATGGCAGAGTTTCAGTGGCTCAGGCTGAATGGTGTGAATGCACGAGTGTCAAAGCATGTCCCCAAGTCCGGCTTCCGGTGTCCTGGCAGCAGGACAGAAGGACGGGGTCACTGCGATGCAGCGCGGACGACGCAGGGCGGGGTGCCTCGTCCTGCCCACGGGTGATGGAAACGGGAGTTGTTCTGGGCGCACCGTGCGCTCCTGCGCTGTCCTGCAGGACAAGTGACGCGGGACAGCGCTTGAGCAACGCCGGCGAGCTGCACACGCACGGCCACTCCGCCGGCCTGCGCGGGGACATCCGGCCAGGGCAGAAAGGGAAAACGGCCGAAGGGAGGGTGGGGGGAAAGACGAGCGGTCCATTCTGGGTCTGGGACTCTAACCTCAAGTCACGTTGGGGCTTCCTGAGCCTCAGACAGCCACGCCCTATCTTCATCGTTTTTGCTACTTTAAAAAAATTAAGTCAACTTTTAGAAACACGAACATCTACTTTGGTCTCGTCCCAAACACTCATACTCAGAGGTTCGTGAGCTCGGTACGCTGGTCCCTCTACAATGGGTGAAGCATTATCGCGTTTAGAAAAATGCTTGTGAACCACCCTGAGATCATCTCTCGCACCACTGCTGGTAACGATAACTTCGACCGCGAACTTCTGGAGCAGAAACCTTCCTTCCATCTTCGACACGCTGTCAATAACTGACGCTTACTAGACACCGACGATATGCCAGGAATAGTAAAACGCACTCTTATACAACGTAAGTCCCTCAATCTTCAATAAATTGCGTTAAAATGATGCCAGTGTTGGCACACGGGTAACCAGGACCCACAGTTAGTGGAGAAAGACTTCACGGCAGCAGCATTGACAGCCGCGGAAAGGCGCCAGCGCCTGACTGCCCGCCGAAGACCAACGGGCAGCCGAACGCGGCCACGCGCCCGGATGCTGTTCGGCTTTAAAAAGGAAGGAAACCCTGTCACAGGCTGCATCGCGGTGAGCCCTGGGGACATTATGCTTAGTGAGATACAGGTCACAGAGGACAACCAGGGTGTGACTCCACCTACATGAGGACCAGGAGGCATCAGATCATGGGGGGGGGCAGTGGCGTGGGGGTTCCAAGGTACGTTTTTCATTGAATAGGGACCGAATTTCAGTTTTGCAAGATGAAAAAGAGTTCTAGAGATTGGGGCACAATAACCAATCTTAACACGATTGAACTGTACGTTAAAAAATGGGTAACAGGGAAATTTTATGCTCCGTGTATTTTTACCACAGCTGAAAATTAAAAGAGCCTGCAAGATGCACAACCGGCCAGGGCAGCTTCGCTCCCCGTATTGCATTGTGGTAGTGGCTGTGACCTTATTTAACCCTTGAACGAGACAGGAGATTTGCAAATAATGTGAAAATACACACTGAACACGTATGTCTGCAAATGCAGTGAGCTGTCGCTCCCCCCGCTTCAGCTTCTCAGGCTGAAGCCCGCCTCTCGCACGCAGGAGGACCCCTTCCTGTAAAATCCTCATCGAAGGTGTATTTTTAATTCCGTCGTGACTTTGTTGTGATTGACATCGTTTCTGGGTACCCCGTAAGTTCCTGCGAGCAGAGGCCACGCGGTCTCCAACATAGACGCGCCCACGTTAGAACCTCTGACCTGTCGGCAGAACACGCACCACTGGCTGCAGCATCCACAGGCACGTGGGACACTTTCGAGGAAGTGTCAACGCTCCTACAAAGTAAAGCGTGTGAGAATCGCACGTCTGGCCGGAGGGATGACTCAAGTCTGCCTGAGCTGAAGGCCCTGACTGAAGGCTCGTGGGGTTCGGCGTCACACTGTCACCTTGTTTCAGAGTAGAGGAAGTCAAAAGCCACTCTGTGGAAGCCACAGACAGGAGGGGGCTCCCCATGCCTGAGGGGGCGTGTGGCCGGGCGGTGTGCTCTGCTGCCGTGGGGGCTGCTGGGACAGTGGGTGACATCCCAGCTGGGACAGGGGTCACGTCCACATGTGGGATGTGTCACAGGGCAGTCGGCCGGGGCCGCCCCGTCATGAAGACGGAGGTGCCGTTAGCTTGGGGGAGGGTCCCTCAGTGTCCTTCAATGCCCACGACGCAGAGGACGCGGGTTCAGGGGCGTGGGCGGACCAGGACGAGCTGTGAGGACTTAGAATGGAGGCGGCTTATTTGTTCGCTGTCATTTTTACTAATATCATTGTTACTGATGTCACTACTATTTGTTATTTTGTTAACATCTATTTATGGCAGTGATGCTGGTTTCCATACTCAGAAATTAGGTCCCACTTTCTTTTAAAGTTTATTGAAGTAAAAATACTTAATTTTTTAAAAATATAAGGTACATGTGATAGAAAGCCCATGAAAATGCCAGAAATTGACAGGGCAGATCATACATGAAATTTGGGAAAACCTGCACTGATACATCTCCCGAGTCTCAACTTAATGATTATATAATAAATGACACATACGAAAATTCCAGAACTTCCCAATTATGTGTTCGAGGCAGGAATACTCATTCTATGGAGAGCCTCCAAAACACTCTGCCTCACGTTCTTCTAGTGCTTGTCTCACCCTCGTTACTTTGTCCCGAGGACACACTTGATCGAGTTCAGGTAACTGGTGTTGGCTCCGCTCTGTGGGTGACCCTGCCACGTGGAGCAGCAAAGGCTCAAGCACAAAGCTGGCCGAGCGCTTGACGGTGTTCTGTGTTCTCAAGAGGACACACGGACACCCGTCAGTGAAGGCACAGACGGTGGGGGCCCCTCGTGTGAGGGGCGGGCCTGACTGGGCAGGTGTGTGGCTGTTTTCTGTCACCTGGCACAGCGACAGCTCTGGGCTGAGCCGGGAAGGGCCACGCTGGCTCCGAGCCCAGGCGCGCACTTCGCTGGCCAGCTTACTCAGGGGAAGCACTCCTGGGCTGCTAATGGCACCTCTGCTCCCCAAGGGGACCCGGTGAGGACAATGTCGCTGGGGACCACACCCAGGAGATGGACAGTCCTGTCTGTCTGTGCACCTAGGGCACCGACTATGACGATGCAGACCCCGGGGACAGAGCGCTGGGCACAGTCGTGATCAGAGGGGCCGAGTCCGTGCCCGGAGGAGCCCGCGCTGCAGCCACGGCAGGCTGCAGGGACAAGAGCGAAGCGACCATCTGGGAACGTGTGGTGCCTGGAGCTGCACCCTGGACGAAGAGGGGAGCGGGTGGGCCGTGTCGCGCCAGGGACGTGCCACTAAACTAGCAGTCAGGTGACACCGAGGCTCGGGGGAGCGAAGCTCGGGGACCGACGGGGACACACGCCCGGGTACCTGGAGGGAGGGCTTCCTGGGAGAGCGGCTGCGTCCACGGAGGGCCCAGACGCGGCGCCACCGGGAAGGCGAGGGCGGACACAGCGCGACAGTGCTGAGTGCTGCCCTGGCCGTGAGGGTGGCCCCGGGTGACCGTGACGGCGGGTCCCCTAGGGGTCACGTGCCTCGTCACTGCGGGGAGGGCGGCCAGGGGACGAGTGGGGGTGACCCCGAGCACGCAGACTGCAGAGATGCGGCAGGCCTTGCAGAGGGGGCAGTGTTAGGCGCGGGTCGGGGCGCACGGGCCCCGGTTTGGGGAGCGCAGTTTGAGCCCCTTGGATAAGCGGCGAGGACTTCTGAGTGCTGGCTCCACCCACACCGAAAGCCAGCATGACCCCAGGCCTTCCAGCTTCATGCAGCAGAATATCTGCCCTGAAATGCTTTCTTGCAATCGCTGAATGTGAAATTCTCAGTACTTTTCCTTTTAGGAGCCAACAAATTCTGTCCTTGATGTGCCATCTGCAATTTTCCTCACAGCGCCTTTAGAGAGAGTTAGCTCTCTCTCATTCAGTTGCATGTAACAGAGTCCCATTCTTGATTAAAGAGGCTAATTAGTATTTAACTCAGAAATGCTTTCGAAAATCACAAGTATTTGGACATCAAAAATGAAGTGTTTAATGGAAGCCACAGTACTTGAGAATCTTTGTATTATTTTACATTAATCAAAAAAGCCACCGAGATCTGTCCTGAATCTAAAGCCGTCCACACAGAATTCCATGATCACTGCTTCGCCAATCTTGCCATTTTCAGCGAGACGGTAAGGACTACAGTAAGTGTTTTGAATTCACAATTTCAGTCAAAAGGATTTGATTAATAATAGTACTCCAGGCTGACCTGCTTCTATAGATTTCATTCACCCCTTCAGCCACCAATCAGCTTTTAATGAGTGGCTCCCAGTGCTGCTCTGGGCACTGAGGGTGGGTGAATACGACAGAGAGAGATGGTCCCCACAACATTTAAAATCCAGGGGGCAAGACAGAGAGCGAGCAAGCAATCAAAGAGGTGATTTTAGTTCTTTATGCCCGAGGCATGACAAGAATTCTCTTCATAGCAATAATCTCAAAAGCCACACGAAACTTTCTAAGTAGGACTTGAAGCTAAAGCCCCCGCAGAGGTCAAGATGACTGTTTACTGCTGCCAGTAACTGTGTTAGAAATCGCTTTAAAAGATTCTGTTTTACTGGTTTTAATATGTTTGAAAATTATAAACATAAAAATTTAAAATTAAAAATGTTCTTCAGTCATGATTTCGGGGTGATTGGGCAGGTAATTACCCGGATAACTCTCACTCAGTGTAGAAAACTCCTCAGTCACATCTCAGACCAACGTGCGGCGTCAGCTGAGTTGTGGTGACAGGACTGTGGTTTTCAGAGACTGTGCCTGTGGCTGGAACCCGTCACACCACAGCTCCGTGGGCACAGGAGTCCTGTCTCCCTGGGTCCCCTCCCCTGTGCCTAAGCCCAGGGTACAATCCCAGGAAGTGCGGGCACTAGAGACATGAACGTTCCGATTATGGGGGTGAGAGAGAGGGCAGCACAGTGGCTAAGACTGTCCAGATGTGCCACACCTTCTGTGACCTGGGGGAAGCCAGGTGACCTTGGATGCCGCAGCGTCCTTAACGCTAACACGAGAATTAAGAACACGTGAAAAGAAAGAATCAATGCAGAAAACGCACTTAGACCAGGGACTGGACACCGTGCGGTGAGTGCTAACCATGAAAGCCACCTCGTCATGGCTGCTGGAACGTGCCACTTCCTTCGTTAGGCTGGATATTTCTACACTATCTTGAAATTATAAATGGCTTTCGCTTCTTTTTACAGTTTTACTTTGCTCGCTGTACGTGACCACGATACTCCTCCTGATTCATCATCAGTCTCGCGCTCTGCCAGTTCTCCAGGCTCCTTGCTGTCTCCATGGTGATGTCACCCGGCTCCCACAACCGAGTGCCCCGGAACCTCATGCGTGGGCGCTTCTGCCCCCGGAAACTGACCGATGCTGTGCTTTGCCCGCATAACTGACGACGTTCGAACTGTGCTAACTCAGGATCGCGCTGGGAAGGTGACCGCATTGAGCGAGGACTTCTAACCACAGAATGTTCCCATGTCTTTCCAAACCCACGTGCTCCAGGGTCTAACCCCGACGCCGAGCTGGGAACAGGGGAGTGGGTCAGCTTCCCCTACTCCAGAGAATGAAATTCAGTCATCACATTCGTCGGCTGCTTCTAAAACGTCTGCTGCTAAAGGGAGGAACGTGGTTTGTTTCTAGACTTTGGCAGACGACGGTATGACCCTGAGTAAGTGGGTAGCCAGCTCTCTTTCCTAGAGAGAATGCGCAGATAAACACGTGACCTTTCCTGCTCAAACTAACACCGGCTAACTAAAATCCAAGGCAGCAGAATTCCGTCTTAGATGTATTTTAACTTATCCACAACACTAGCCAATGGTATCTAATTTTATATTATTGAGGTTAATAGTCTTCGCCAACCAATGTGTGGTCTCATAGAAACTGGGGGATTATATATGAAAAAAGAAACACATTAATAAAATTGTCAACCAAGCACAATAACTGCCCCATTCCCATATGAAACCAGTCAAGCAAACAATTTTATGGAGTTAATGAATTTTGAAAATACATTAGGAAAAATAGTTTTCCGCAAGTAGGAGAAATGCATCGCTGTGTCGAGGCAACCCCTCCGTGCTCACTCTCCTCACCTGTGGGCCGGAAACAACGACACCCCCCTCACGTGGCAGCTCTGAGGTTCGTGTGTGGGGATGTGTGTGAAGCCCTGGGACACAGAACGTTCTTGATGGCTAACGCCTGTGACGATGGCCATGCGATGGCTGCACGGTGAGAACGTAGCAACGCAACACGTCGGTTAAATCCACCCCTGCGCTCTCAAGGTCATGGGCACGACGCGGGAGCTACACCCCTGCAGATCGCTGGTCTTCCCGCAGCCCAGCTCGATCCCAGTTAGCGCCCGGCTTGTGAGGGGTGCTTAGCCGTCTCCCGTGACCACGGAGCCGACATACTCAGCCCGCGGGCAGCTCAGGCATCTCAGGCACCTCCCAGGCCTGAAGCCAGGTCCTCTGATGGCCACCTTTACCGACATTGCCAGCTTTTGAATAATGTAGGAAAGGGGGGCGGAATCACTCTCCACTCTCTGATGTGAACCTGAACTTAACTAGACACCCTCGAGCTCTAGGGAACTAAAAATACACCAGGTAAAAGCAATGAGTTGGTCACATTTTCAGAGAGCTGTGGATGGGCTTGACACCTCTCACTGAGGTCCCTACAGGTGCGTCCTCAGTCCCCGGGGTTTCGCCCTGCGGCTTGGGGACCCCGCGGAGACAAGGGCCAGGAGCGGGGCTACCCGGTCGTGGGTTCACAGGACACGGAAGGCTGCCTTTCCCAGGGCGAAGGGAGCGCGGAGCCTACGTACGCGGCTTCCTGGTGGTGGCGCTGGCCGTGGTGCTGAAGGGCCCGGCGCCGGCGCTGTTGAACGCGCGCACGGCCGCGTGATGCGCCAGGTTGCTCCTCAGGCCGCCCAGCGTGGCCGACGTCTCGCTCGCTGCCACCGTCACTGTGCTCGCCGACTCCTCGTCGCCGCTGCTCCAGTAGCGCACCTGGGGGACAGAGACGCGGGCAGGTGCGGAGGCTGGCGACGCAGCACCGCCCGCCCCGTGTCCGCACTGCGGCGGCGCGAAAGCGGAGCTTCCTCCGGGACTATCAAGGACCTACTATGTGCTGGGAGCCGCCCCGGCTCTGTGCGGGAGGGGAAAGAAAAGGGTCTGGAGGAGACGCGTGATCCACAAGCGCACGAGTAAACCAGGTACCCATGGTCGCGCGAAGCCCTGCTCCGTGTGGTCTTAAAAATGGGCGAAGGGAGCGAAATCTGCATGTCTAAGTGAGCAAACGCCCCCCTCCCTTATCTCAGACCCTGGTCGACCAGGCCCCGCCCCACCCAGGGTGCCGGTGGCCCTTTGTGCATCCCCTGGGCGGGGCACAGTCCTGTGCGGATGTGAGCTGGCGGATGGAAAAGACCGTCACCCAGCCAGCCAGCCGCTAGACTGTCGCAGGTCACCCAGGCAGACTGTCCCACGGAGACGGCCCCGTGTCAACAGCCCAGAGATGCTGCGGAGAACGCCCGGCAGGCAACAGTTACACGAAAGTACTCGTTAAAACGTTTTGCTTGTATTTCATTCTTATGAACTGTGCAAAATGACCTGATTCTTTATATGAAGATATATGTATGTACAGTACAAAAATACAAAAATAAGTTCATGAGAATGTTGGCTAAAACAAAAAATAAGGGCAGAAAAAATACGATAAAAATACCCACTCCCTCACGACCTCCAACATACGCTAGAAAGTTCTGCTGGGCTTTGCTAGAAGGTTTAGATTTTGTTCATTAAAAAAAAACAGAAACAAAACCAGCAACGGCAACAGAACCACCCAACACACGGCTCTGGAAAAGCCCAACTTCTCCCCGGGGTGAGACCAGCTGACGACACGGGCGGAGCCTGTGACGGGGACGTGGGAGGCAGGCGGAGACCGCGTGCTCTGCGCTCGTAAAGGAACACACGCTCTCCTGTGTTTTCTAGAGTATGTGCTTTGCCTGACTTTCATTTTTCTGCTCTTGATAGCGAAATATAAACCGAGAAGGCTCTCCTGTGAGCTGTGCGAGAACACAGCCGTTTGCACACGGTGGAAGTGGCACTGGGTCCTTGGCCACCAGGGTCATGTGGACGGTGGGGACTTGTGGGGACCGAGGCAAACCAGCTGCCACGCTCCCCCATGACGGAACCTCCACTCAGCTCTGGCTGACAGGGGAGGTGTGCCCACTGCTTACAGGGCTGTTTTTGTTTAAAGGAAGCAAACATCCTGATTTTAATGCAAAGCGCCCCAAATTTAGAGGTGGCTCCATTTTGTGAAAACAGTGTGTGGACTACATCAAATGTGCTTCTGGGCTGCAAAGGGTGACAAGGTTCACCCTCTGAGATAAATGCACTAGATGTTACTGTTTTATTTTTAAATAAACAATTACACTTTCTTTAAAAGTTTTTAAAATTTATAAGAATTTTTTTTAAAAAAAATTAGTAGCAAAGTATAAATCTCTGGTTTTTTCAATGATGACCCTAAATTATACGAGATTTATATTTTCTTCATAAATGTGAATATATGTGTATGTATGTGCATGTGTACACATGTGCATGTATGTTTATACATATTTACATACAAGCCCTGTTATGTGCAGGTGCTGTGTTCATGTGAGTGTGTGCATTTCTCCCGGAAAGGAGTGAACAGCTTTTACAAAGATGATGTGAACCCAAGTGATGGAGACAAAATGGAATGTGTAGTTTAGGTAGTTCCTACCACTTTAAAACAGCAAATACTAAAACGGTGACGTTTTAGCAATTAAAAAAACACACACACACATATCTGACAGACCCCGTTTGCCAGCATCGAAGAAAACCACGTAGATGTCATTCATTCGTTAAAGTAATAACACGTCGTGTTGTCCTTTCTAAAGCCACAGCCAAGCAGGCTAACGGATGCAGGACGCACCTGCTGACTGTGCTTTCACCAGCTGTGAACGGTGTAGGCGTCGCTGGGTGTGGAGGGTCCCAAACGATAAGACAGATGCCTGGCCCTTGAAGGCACTGGCCGGTTATCAGCTGAGAATGTGGGAGACAGCCTGAAGACTCGTGGCATGGGGTGCAGCATGCGGGGGCGGGGGGGCGAAGCCAGGTAATTCTGAGCTAGAGAACCCTCGCCTATGGCTGGCAGCCCAGGGGAGATGCCAGGCTGCGCTGCGGGGCGCTGTCACGCGGCCTGTCCCCCATCAAGCTGCTGTGACAGGAGTTGCTAGGGCCTTGTTCCTAAGGGGCTGATTTCCGGGAGAGTGGCAGGTCATCCTCCACTGGCCCCGGAACTGCTTCCATAAACCTCCAGGAGGTGCCTCCCGACAGCAGGGTGCTGAAGGGTGTGGTGCACCTTCAGCATGGGAGCGACATGCATTTTTAGGTCTCCTCGCTGACAGGTATGAGAAGCATTTATAGATACAGAAAATCTGTGCCCAACTGAACATACTAGATTTTATTGCATAATCTTCGATAACGAACAACTGAGCAAAAATGCATCTGAAACAAAGCAGCAACATTGATGGCCTCAGTTCTATAAGTATTTAATCAACTGTTCTATAAAATTTTGCCCCGAATCATTCCTATAAGGTTAGATTTCTTTTTTTTTCCAAAGAAGGAAAAGTCGAGAAGAACATAAAGGTGAAGACGCTGCTTTGCCTCCCAGCCGTGTCCCGAGAGCACAGAACACGACTCCACAGCGGGGATCTCAGAGGCGACACGGGGACGGAGAGGGAAACGGCGTACGCTCTGCCGATGAGTGTGCAGGGAAGTCACTCGGGCATGGACGGGACAGACGGGCAGCGTCCGCACGGTGAGCAGAGCGCGGGGGCTGCAAAGCCCAGGAAGAGCCGGCGGAGCCGGAGCCGCAGCCGCGCTCGAGGCGCCCCTCAGACACGCACCTCCAAG